TTCCACCACCAGTCTCCTTTGTGGTGATCTTTCAAGACTCTCAATACTTCTCTCACAGCCTCCTTAATGTAGTTTGTCGTCCTCAACCATATGCCCTTCGCATCCCCACTACTCCTCCAAGCCCTTACGCCCTGCAACTTCTCATGCAGCTCCTGAGACTTGTCCTTAATCAAGGCTCCCTACCTGATCTTTGATCGACCCCACCCAACCCTCTTCTTACTCATCATCACGATGTCTAAGTCCATCACCAAAAGCCTATGCTGGGTCACGAGGTTCTCACTCGGAATAACCTAGCAATTAGTGCACAAACCTTTATCACGCCTCCTAAGAAAAAGATAATCAATTTGGGTCTTGGCCTCCATGCTCTGGAAGGTAACCAAGTGCTCCTCCCTCTTCTAAAAACTTGAGTTTGCTATCATCAAGTCAAACACCTCAGCGAAATCCAATAGCGACGTAGCTCATGCATTTATAACCCCAATGACAAAGCCACCATGCTCCTCGTCATTCCCCCAGCAAACTTCATGATATGCCCATTAAAAACCCCTCATATGAAAATCATCTTAGTGGACAGAATACCATGCACAACCTCGTCCAAACTCTCCCGAAAGTGATTTTTAACCTCTTCATCTAGGTCCACTTGGGGTGCGTAAGCGTTGATACCGTTAAAGTATGCCCTCCAACCACTAACTTAGTTTCCATCAGACATTAATTCACCCGCCTAACCTCTACTACTAGCTCCCTGAGATCCCTGTCCACCAAGATGCCAACTCTGTTAATACCCGTCATACCTCCTCAGTGCCATAGTTTAAACTCGTCTGCCTCATGCACCTTTGACCCTACCCACCTAGTCTCCTAGACACAGGCTATATTAATCTTCCTCTTCTGGATAATCTTAGCCAATTCTATAGATTTTCTTGTTAAATCCCCTATGTTCCAAGATCCAACTCTCAACCTAATGGCTCTCTTGTTGCCCTTACCACCATTGGCCCCTGCCCCACACCCTACCCTCTCCCCACCGCCCTATCCTAGGACATGTCCTTAATTTAGCATCATCAACCGCAACCACTATAACCTACAGTACACTAAAGGCAAAAAAAAAGTTGAAACTACGAGATTGATATCGCGCTAACAAATAAGCACACTAATAGAATGCCTAAACTAACACAATAACAATTTAAATAATATGAAGGAAAGAAGTGTTTCGACAAGTGGACATGAGGTACCAACTCCCGAGAATAGAACCTGGAGTAGAGTCTTGGTGCACACGAAGTTGTGGCACCTAAAACATTCACGTCCAACTTCCCACTAGCCTTTGCTGACGCCCGCCCTGGCTGCTCTGATATGCTTGCTGTGAACAACTAGTTTTTTACCACACCCAAATTCTATACTATTTTTGTGTAATTATTTGTTTTAAGTCTAATCTTAACATNTATAAGCTAAAGAATCTTTCTTAGTAAAGTACATGTAAATATATAGTTTCCTATATTGTAAGAAATAGTTCTTAATCTTCATAATTTAATATATTTTTAAAAAAAATACAAAAAAAGGAAGAAAACAAAATAAAGTAACAACAACAACAACAACCCAGTATAATCACACTTAGTGGGGTCTGGGGAGGGTAGTGTGTCAGCAGACCTTACCCCTACCTTGAGGTAGAGAGGCTGTTTCCAAATAGACCCCCGACATCCTTCCCTCCAAGAACTTCTCACCTTGCTCTTGGGGAGACTCGAACTCACAACCTCTTGGTTGGAAGTGAAGGTTGCTTACCATCAGAACAACCCCTCTTGCTTACCCAAAATAAAGTAACTTAAGTAAAAATGGATAAAGTTTGCAACCAAAAAGTCACGTTTCTCATCTTTTCTCCATACCTCTCACCTGCTATTCTCCACTTCCCCGCTTTCCCCCGCTCACAATACCACATCACCTTTTATAACTAATTTTTATCCTCTTTATAAATAAGAGAAAAGGGAGAAAGGAGATATATCTAGAGATATACACACAAGCAGTCGCGGCTCTCTTGTTCTTCTTCACGCCAAAATCACAGTCATTCACCATTTTTGGTAGATTCTGTTTCCACCCTTCATCAGTTGCTCAACTCAACCCTAATCATCAGCAAAAACTTCCCCAAAAACAAGTTCGAATCCACCCCCAAAACAAGCCAAGAACCTGCTGAAATCAGCTAGAAAATGCAGCTCCAAAACCACTTCAAAACACCCCCCCAAAATCAGTAAAAAATTCACAGCAAAACAGCCTGTAAACCAGCTTTTAAAAATCAACAAGATTCTTGTTTGTCTCCTCATATTGTTCGAGTTATAAAAGGTTGAAACTTGAGGCCGCGTTCGAGGTTTCGGTGCCGCCGATTTATTATTCGGGCTCCGGTAGCGAGTTCGGCCTCTTAGTATTTTCGGAATAACTATTTGCTCGATATGTAAACCAAGCTGGAAAGTGTTTAACCAAAAATCTGAGTCTTTGGTCAAAGCTAAAAAGAAATTCGGGTTACTGATAATCAGGAGACGAAAATAAAATACTTTTGAGAATGATGGTAAAGTAGTAAATAGTTTTGTATTTCATTAAGATCCCAATAGTATTTCGTATCCTTACAGATGGTGAATTCTTCTCCTTTTATAGCTAATTCTAGGAGAAGATGTAATGTCTTTGTCTTAATGAGGCAATTATGAGCAATAAATGACATTAAAAGAAACGTTACGCAATCATTTCTTTTTAAATCAAATATTCTAACGTATTTGATATTTAATGTTGTATTTAGACTCTTTTACGTCATCAGATTCGTATCTTCAACTTCTTCCAATCTTCGGTCTTTAAATGACTTGGATAGGTACGAAACTCGTACCTATTTTAGTAACGGTCTGCACCTATGTTGCTTTCTTTTTTCCTTATCTGTTGTCGCCCATGCCTCTTGGCTATTTATTGTGTTTTGACCGTTTGACCAGTCCACGTGTCACGCCACGTCACCTACAATGTAAATTTATTTTTTTCCCAATACAGATAGTCCCCCCACTTTCCATTTATTTATCAAGTAAATAATTGGGAAGTGGATCTTCATAAAAAGGGAATTTTTGCCGTAATTAATATTATGACAAATACTGACGCTTCAATTGTCCCTTCCATTTAATGTTTTACATACGTGTCATCTTCTGATTGATTCTGCAATTCTACCCCCTTTTTTCGAGACTTCTTCATTCACACTATTCACGAAATGATAGTTGCCTTTATTATAGGCTTTCCTTCATTGCACTTCTAAGTTTGACGGTTGTCATTATAAGCATTTTTAACCCTCTTTTGTTTACCTTCTTCTTCATGGATCTTCAACAAGCAATTTCTTACTTACTTGTATTTTCTCTCCCTTTTAGTACATCCTTCTTCAACAATGTCATCTCCAAACCCTAACCCTAGAAAATTTCCAATTCTCGATCACTTCCCAATGCCCCCACAAGACATAGGAGAGGCAGAAGAGGTAGGCTTCGGAGCTTGGGCCTAGGGTCCGCTCGTGATGGTTTATCTGGTCCTACTTCTTCTTCTCCTAGTGTCGGGAGTTCTATTCCGAAGACCCCTTCTTCTAAAGGTAAAGAAATCCTTGATTCTTCTCAAGAACCTTTAGTCGATGAAATTATTCCCAGTGATTTGTCTTTTGGGAGTGATAGAACGTCTCTTCAAAGGCAAATTGTAAATTTAGAAAAAGCTGACACTTATCCTTCATTAGTAACCGAGCTTACAATTCCTACCATCAGAAGGGATTGTAACTGGAGCAATAGTCTTCGAATGTCAATTCCTTCCCCAAATCAAAGAATTTCTTCCTTTAGAAATGGTTACTCTTTTGTTTATACTTACCCATTTACTTTGGGTTTTAATCCTCCGGTTGACCCAGTCATTATTAACTTTTGTCGTTTCTTTAAAATCTGTTTGGCCCAAGTCGGTCCCCTAGTGTGGAGAGAAGTGGTTTGTCTGAGATACTTATCTGCCAAAGCCAATGTCGACTTCACCCTTTCTCACCTTATTCATTTATACCATCCCAATTTAATGCGCCATGGGGTTTTTACCTTAACTGCAAGAAGCAAAAAGGTTTTGGTAAGCCCTAAAGATGATAGGGATCGTGGATGGTACACCCGTTACGTTGATGTACGTACGGTAGACTTGCTTGGTGAAACAAATATTCCCTTCCCTAAGAAGTGGAATTTTGCACGTAAGTTTCCTTTTATTTATCACACCTATTTTTGAGAATTCTGATTCTTTTTCTCACTTCGTCTCTTTTTGGTTTTTTGTAGCAACCATGGGAGATGTGGAACTTATTCCTGACTTCCGTGGTTGGGTGGATTCAATTTTGAAGATTTCTCCTAAGGATCAAAGAACTTGGAAATCAATTTCTTCTTTACATGGCTGGAAGGTGAAAACACATGGTATGTCCCTTTTTACACGATTTTTTCTTTTTACACGTTAAGCACCTTTTTCTCAATGTTGATTATGTATCCTTCTTTTGATCAGGATTTGGTGTTAGAGGAATGGCAGCTGAAGTAGCTATGGCCATTCGCATGTCTGCTAATGCTGCACTTGATTTGAACAAGGCTAGAGCTTCGCTTCCCAAAAGGAAAGCTATAGGAGAAAGTTATGAGAATGAGGAAGAGGAAGATACCTCTTTAATTGCCAGGCCAAGAATTAGGAGATGAGTCATTGATAGTGATGAAATTGAGGATACCCCTGCTCAAACTTCATCCACCGAGCCTGTTTTGATTCATTCCGACGAGGACACCGTGCCAAAAGATACTAATGAATTAACTCAGCGTCCTTTTGAGAGTGGCGAGCTCGGCCCTGTTTTTGATGAAGCTCCTCTCTCCTCATTTGTTCCTATTTCCTCCATTCCTTTGCCAGTTTCAACTGCACCTACTTCCGTTCCTGTGTTGGTTTCTTCATCTTCTCCTTCCATCCCTTCTTTGAATCCTATGACTCCTGCTGCTGTGTTTACCTTTTCTACTACTCCTCCTTCCATGGCTCCTCCTCCCTTCGTTCAGCATACAGAGGCAGGTTCTAGCAGTAGAACTATGGCTATGAGAAGTGTTACTCTTGAAGTTCCTGCCAACCATAGCCTTTTGAGAAAAATTGGTAGAGTTGATGTTTGGCTCGAGCCTCTAATCGGTGATATTGAGAAGAAGAAGATGGAGAGCCACAGCTGCCTGACTCTGACGAATGACATAGTTCATTCTACTTTGAAGGTATTTTTCCTTTACCAACAAGTTTTTTTGTTTTTAATCTACAAATCCTCATTTCTATGAGTTGTCTCTGTAGGCTAACCTCATTGGTACTGAATTGATGGGAAGAATTTCCCTTCTGGAAAGAAAAACTCGTGAGTCTGAAGAATCTATCCATGAGCCGAGGAAATAGCCAGGGGAGCCCAACTTGAAGCATCTAACTGGAAAGAACAGTTTGAGAATGCTCAGGGGACCATAGAGGAGTTGCAAGAAAGTAGAAATCTCCTGGAGCAGCAAAAGCGTGGTTTGACTTCTGAACTAGCAACTGGCAAGGCTTCTTCAAGCCAATTTAAAGGAGATAAAGAGCATTTGGAGTGCTCATTGTCAGAACAATTATCAAAGGCTAGTGAAGAGGTCGGGGAGCTTAAGGCACTTTTAGCCAAGAAAGAAGAGTATGCAGGAGAATTAGTGCAAAGCTTGACTCAAGCTCAAGCTGACTTACAGACCTCCTCTGACGAGATTCGAGCTTTGAAGAGTTCTCATGCCTCCCTTGAAGCTTCCCTTGATTCCCATTTAGCTGAACATCAAATATTGAAGAATGATCTTGCTATGTGGGAAAGGGAGTATGGACTTCTGGAGGAGAACTTCAACATAGAGGTGAGTTGGGCTTTCCTGAAATCTCGCCGTGATGCTCTGATGGAAGCTGCTCAGGAAAGCTTCGATTTGCAATCTGAATTAGCCAAAGTCTTAGACACTATCGAGAAAAGTCAACAACCTGTTGATACTCCTTCTCCTGCACTTGAAGCTCCTGGAACGGAAGAGCTTTTAAATGAAGAAGTGGCTACTGCAGCAATTGAGGTTGCAATTCCGGCTCCCGAGGGTGAAACTTCTATGACACATTCCATGGAAGCTGAAGCTCCTGTGATTCTTGCTCCCCTCGGTGATTTCAATATTCCAAGCCCAATTAAAATTGCTCTTGAAAATGAAATTGCAACTTCTGATGTTCCAACCCCTTCAGTGACTAGCTGAAAATGAAATTGTTGTTTTTGTTTTTATTAATTGGTGGTGTTATCCCTTGGCAACTTTAAGGGATCTTTTGACGAAATCCCCAGTTATCATAATGGGGCATTTGTAAAAAACAAATATTTTGCTGACTAAGTTTGTACTTAGTCTTTTATATTAAGAAGTTTTTATTGGTACTTCCGTATATTTTATTCTTGCCCATTTATCTAGGACTTATAGAATAGCTTAGCATTTTTATCCTTTTAAAATGCTTTATGATTCTTCTCATGGATTATCAACACGAGGCTTATAAAAGAGGGCCCTTTTATTTTATCGACACTTAATGAAGAAGACGTCTCAACTTCATAATGGTGTTACAATACGATGAAAGAAATAGGAATACACATGTTTTGTATGAAATAACTTTGGCAAGTTTTTATTCACGAACTTTAACAAGTGTTTGACTATTACATGTATTACAATACATCTACAACTTTCTCGTAACTGTTTTTTTTTTGTAATAGATTTGTACATAACAAAGAATAAACAAGGTTTTTCTTCATAACCTGTTTCAGTACATAGTCATGACCCTATCTTTATATATTAAGAAGGGTTTGAGAGGTGACTCTGCTGTTCTCATGAATGCTGAAGACTTCGTAACTTTTTCTCAACACTTGTCTCTTTGTGGCCGACTTTTATTCGATATTCGTATCTGTTTCTCTACACATATCTGTGTATAATATGTAGTCCCCCAAGTGTTTGAGCGGTGAAGTATGAAGCCTCGAGCACTTGGTTATTTCTTTTACTTTTGCCCTTTTCCTGAAACAGAAAGATATGCGGGACTCGGAGGTGCGATTATAGATGAAAACTGCCTAACTCGTGTGTATTTCCATCAGATTAATTGTAACCCTGGGCTGGGAAATTAAGAATACTCCATTTTTCCTTGCAGGTTGTGACTCATCATTTGGCACAAGTTAGGGTTTTTTGCCTAGCATCTAAAATCGTTAGTAAAACATTAATAATTCAAGAGAGAAATTTTAACATGGTTATACCTGACCGTGGGTACTTTCTCAGAAGTAATATCTTTTTAAATGGACGGCATTCCAATGTGAGGGTAAAACTTTGCCGTCCATTGTCTCCAACTCGTATGCTCCTTTTCCCGCAATGTCACGGACTTTGTATGGTCCTTCCCACGTTGGACTTAGCTTTCCTGAATTAGCAGCCTTTGCAGATTGGAACACCTTTTTAAGCACGAAGTCCCCAATTTTGAAAAATCTGAGGCGTGCTTTCCTATTGTAATATCGTTCAATTACTTGCTTTTGTGCTGCCATTCTTATCAATGCAGCTTCTCTTCTTCCTTCAAGCAAATCAAGGTTGACCCGCATCTCTTCATCATTAGATTCCTCCGTTGCCCGAACGTACCGTGTGCTTGGTTCACCTATTTCAACTGGAATTAAGGCTTCCGCACCATAAACCATTGAAAATGGTGTTTCTCCAGTGCTTGTTTTTGTCGTTGTACGATAAGCCCATAATACTCCAGGTAACACCTCAGGCCAATTACCTTTTGAATCCTGTAACCTCTTCTTCAAGTTGTTGATAATGACTTTGTTAGTGGATTCCGCTTGTCCATTACCCACTGGATGGTATGGCATAGACGTTATCCTTTTAATCTGCCAACTTCGAAGAAATTCTGTGATTTAAGCTCCAATGAATTGTGGACCATTGTCACACACGATCTCCTTTGGTTCTCCAAAGCGGCATATTATATTTCGCTATATGAAGTCTTTAACTTCCTTCTCTCGTACCTGTTTAAATGCCCCTGCTTCTACCCATTTAGTGAAATAATCTGTAAGTACAAGTAGAAATTTTACCTGACCTTTTGCTTGTGGAAGTGGACCTACGATATCCATTCCCCATTTCATAAAAGGCCACGGGGCTATAATAGGATGTAGTAACTTAGCTGGTCTGTGCATATTATTGTCGTATCTTTGACATTTATCACATTTGGATAGGAAACTGTTTGCCTCTTCTTCCATCTTAGGCCAATAATATCCTGCGCGAATTAATGTTCTTACCAGTGACCTCCCCCTTGCGTGATTTTCACAATGTCCTTCGTGCACTTCTCTCATCACATATTCTGTTTGAGAGGGTCCGAGACACCTTGCTAGTTGTCCACCAAACATCTTTTGATAAAGATTTCCTTGATATAAACAATATCGAGCAGTTTTTTTGCGAAGCGCGTGAGCCTTTCCTTTGTCATTAGGAACGGTACCGTGCTGTAAAAAGGCAACCATTTTGTTTCTCCAATCCCATGTCAAAAGATTAAAATTTACCTCGTTTTTATCAAGTTTGAGAACAGAATGAAATAAATGTATGACTGAAGCATTTGTATCGTTTGCTACGTCTGCTGCAGATGCGAGATTAGCTAAAGCATCTGCCTCTACATTCTCATCTCTTGGGATCTGCACTACTTTCCAAGTTTGGAATTGCTTTATTAACTCCCGTACCTTTGCGAGGTATTCTTGCATTCGCGTCTCCCTGGCTGTATAAGTCCCCAGCATTTGATTGACCACGAGTTGAGAATCACTCTTGATTATAATCTGTGTTATGCCGAGTTCTCGTGCCAATTCTAGACCTGCAATTACAGCCTCATACTCTGCTTCATTGTTAGTTATAGAGTGACATTTTATAGCCTGTCTAATAGTCTCACCCGTAGGTGGTACGAGGACTATCCCTAGGCCTGCCCCTTTTACATTAGATGATCCATCAGTGAATAAAACCCAAGTCCCCGGGTTTGCACCATTAAAAACTTGTAATTCTTTTTCTGCTTCTAAATGCATCCCCTGACTAAAATCAGCCACGAAATTAGCTAGTACTTGAGATTTTATAGCGGTCCTGGGTTGATAAATGATTTCGTATTCACTTAGTTCTATAGCTCATTTTGCTAATCTTCTTGAAAGTTCGTGTTTATGCAAAATATTTCGAAGCGAAAAAGCAGTAACTACAATAATGGGATGACATTGAAAATAAGGTCTTAATTTTCTAGATGCCATGATCAAAGCTAATGCTAACTTTTCTAGCTGTGGGTATCGTGTCTCAGCATCCAATAAGGACTTACTTACATAATAAATAGAAGATTGTTTACCTTGGTCCTCACGGACTAAAACATCACTCACCGCGACTTCAGATACAGCCAGATAGATAAGAAACTTTTCCCCCACCTTTGGTTTTGCCAATAATGGTGGTTTTGACAAATAAGCGTTCAAATTTCTAAGGGCTTGTTGACAATCTTCATTCCATTCAAAATGATCTTGCTTTTTGAGTGCAGAGAAAAACTTAAAACACTTTTATGAGGATTTGGAAATAAATCTCCCCAAAGCTGCAATTCTTCCCGTTAAACTTTGGACTTCCTTTTTATTAGTAAGGATATCAGGGATTTCTTCTATTGCTTTGATCTGATAAGGATTTACTTCAATACCACGGTTAGAAACAAGAAAACCCAAAAACTTACCTGATGCAACTC